ATCTCCGTTTGTCAAATTTTTGGCACAACCTCACTTCTCATGCTCGGAGTTGGTTTTTGACTTCACGTGTCTCCATCTTGAGTGGTTTTCTCGAAATACGTATCTTCACTTTTGCAAGAAAGTACTCTGGTTGCTCTCGGTGTCCATAGGGGCATGGATGTACAATTCTTCAGAATCTTTTTCATTTCTTGGGGTGTTTTTCATAAATATCTTTTGAAGATATTTTATTTCAGGGGCATCGAAGAAAATATCTTTTGGAATATATTTTCATTCTGGGGCAATTTCGCAGTTAACCCTTTTTGTATGAGCCATTGTGCAATTAACGAAAGTTATTGCAAAATACCTCGTCTGGTGCCTGCATCCTCGTGTGGGATTCATTTTCACATTTTGTTGAGTCGTGTACTCTTAGAATTCCGTTCCGGTCGTTTTACTCCAGCTTCAGAGTTTCTGGACCTGGTTGCCGCCGAACTTGTTCGGGGCATATCTCTCTGCTCGGGACTCAGTTTTCGACGCTGTTTCTTCCATTGTTCATATTTTCTCATTTTAAATCTTTTTTGTTCACGGAGTTTTGCCTTTCGAGCGCATTTGCTCAAAATCCACTTTTCCGGACCCGGTAGGGCACTTTTTGAGACATACTATAAATATGGGACTTAAGAACAAAAAAATTAGATTTCTTCTTCTTCTTCCTCTCCCATGGCCGGCCAAGCTCCCTCCCATGGCTGCCACATTCTCTTTCCTCCTTTGGACCAGTTTTCCTTGGTTAAAAGTCTTCGAACTTAACGTTTAATGCTTGTCTTGACACCATGCATCTTATGCCTTTCTTAGAATCCATTTTCGACGATTTTTCGAGTTCGGGTTTGGAGTCAAGTTGAGATTTTCATGGGGCTTCTTGCGGATTCTTGTTCCCGGGGTAGTCCTTAACAAAACCTCTCGGTATTGTCGGATTCGGAGCACTTTCGTTTCGGTGGGGATTTGGAATTTTCATCTCAAATTGAGGTAGGGGATGTTCTAGGTTTAATTCTTGTTATATAACATGATATTGATGCTTATACAACATGATTAGATGCTTAAATATAAAATCTAGAGATTTATTATTTATTTTTCTTGTACGGGATCTGTTTTTTTCCGGTTGCTCATGACTTGGTTTAAATATGTAGCATGATATTATATTGCCCCTTAATATGCTCATTGTCGTGTATTAAATTTGGAACATTTGAATAAGTATTAAAGATTTTATTTAATATTTATCTTAAGTGAAAGATTAATTCACATGGCCTTAATTAGCTTGAAATCAATATGTGTTAGCATATTATATTAGGCCCTAGCATGCTCATCAACATAGATTAAATTGGGAGTAATCGGAGTTGTTTAAAAATCTAGGGAATATTTAATAAATTGATTAATTAATTTGCCCCGAGTGTACTATTCACTCCATTTGATTTTCGACTTGATATTCATGATGTACATGTCATCTAGTTTCATATACATTAAATCTAGAATATTTGATTAGGTTTTGAAATCTATCATTTATTATTTTTCTAGTATTAAAGTTTAATACTCATGGTCGTATCTTGCATGTAATTCACTTGTATCGTGTTTTTAAAACAAGTCTTGACATGTTGTATAACATACATTAAATTGAGGTCACTTGGATGACTTTTAAAATCCATTCAATGGTTCCATGAGCTAGATTAAGTTTCTAACCTTGTATTCATGATTTCCTTGACAAGTTCTTTCACGTGTATCAAATCAAGAATAATTGGATAAGTTTTGAAACTTATATTTAATTAATTCCTTTGTATGGAACTTAATTCACATGGTTGCATCTTGTATGAAATGAACTTGTAACTTGACATTGAACTTAGCCTTGACATGATCCTTGACATGCCTTGTTGTAGAACACTTGAACTTACCTTGAAATCTTGATAAATTGATCCCTTTAGTAGATTAAGTTCCCTTTTTATGCTCCCATCGATATAATCATGACCCCTTGTATCTAGGTTTCATTAACGTATTTAATGAACACGTACTTATCTTGAAATGGTTTAATTACACATGTGTTGCTTAGAAGGTAATTGAATCATGTATCGTACACTTGTGGTATATTTTCTTCAATGAATTCCAAGCACTATATATCATGGTTGTTGTCTATATAGTTGCACACTATGATTTCTTAACATTTCACATGCCATCATAGTTGAGTACTTAGGGCATGACTTGTATGTTCTAAAATCTTGGTTGTGCATGAAACGTGGTTAATGCATTTCTTGTACTTGATACAATCTTGACTTGCACAACTTGTTGATTTTGGGACTCGGGATATTAATCAAGAATTGACATGGCTAGGACTTGGTTCTAGTACGAGGGAATGTCCTCCTACAACTATAGTGCGCACTAGGGGAAAGGTACCTATGGGTTAGTAGCCCTAAAGTGATCTCAATAGTACGGTTTTAATCCGGGCGATATCCGAGTTTTCACATTGGTTGATTTCACACCTTGTCTTTGTCCTGCTATGTGAAATGCACTAACCTTGTTAATTGAATAGATACTATGTGTAATACCCCGTATTTTATTAAAGAGCTTAGTTTATTTAAATTAATTTATGTGTAGATTTCTTTACCTATTATTGTGCATGCTACATTATTATATTAAATTCATTTAATGGTGCATAATTTATTAATAATTTTATTTGTTGGTTATGTTTATATTAAGCAATATTAGTTAATTAAAGTTTTATATTTGTGTAATAAAGTATTATTATGATTATAATGTATTCTTATGTAATAATAATAATAATATAATAATAATAATTTAATAATAATAATAATATAATAATGATAATAGTGATAAATTAATCATAATAGTAATAATAAGAATAGTATTATTAAAACAAGTTATGATGCCAACTTAGTCTTAAGATAGAATTTCCACTATCTTGGTTGAATGAGATGATTTCAAAGAGGACTTAGGGGCATGGCATTAAAGGAATGTGGTTAGGGAAGTTTAGGAATATTAATAATAATAATACTAATAATGATAGTAATAATCATAATAATAATCAAATGATCAAATGTCATGATGGGAACTTGACAAAATGGTAGCATTTTGGTTAAGTCAATGTACTTGACTTGGATTGCATGCTTTAAGTAAATATAGGTGGGAAGTTAGATGGTTAGTAAAAAGATATTTGTAATATTTAAATTATATAAGTTATTTATATATAGAAGTTAGCCCTTTGGTTGAGGATTAACGTAGGTTGAAGAAGGAAATAATAAAAGTGAGTTCTTGTATAAGACTGAAAGGAAGAGAGAGAAAGAAAGGAGCTTGGATCGGTGTAGGGAATTTACCCGACTACGCGCAACCGGCGAATTTATTTTAAATCCATAAGGCAAGTTATTATCTATTTTTCCCCTTTGAATCCATAAATTAATTGTTTAAATTATTTAAATTATTATGGAGCCTTGAGAGCATGTTAGGAGTTAATAAATTATTATTTTTAGTTTATTTAATTAATAAAATTTTAATTATTTAGGATGGTAGATATTTAATTATTATCCTTTACAATTAAATCTAGCTAAAAATAATTATTTAAGGCTTCAGGGATTTTTCTAGAATTTTCTAGAATTTTTCGGTAATTTTATGCATTTTCCGGCGAGGCTCCGGCGAGATTTCCGGTCGCCGGCAGTGGGGAAGAAGACCAGAGCAATCCGGTGTGTTGCGGCGCAAGGTAACCTGTGTGCGCATGGATCCATGACCAGTGGATGGGAAATTGATTAAAAGATGGATTCGGTGTAGCGCGGGACACCATATGATGGTGCGCGCTAATCATCAGTCGCAGGATGAAAGGAGCATAGGTGGATGGATTCGGTGTGGCGCGCATGTAGGAAAGATGATGCAGCCAACCAACCGGAGGACGCTGCGTCAGCAAGAAGCCATCAACGCGCGCGTGGGAGCGCGTGCGCGCGCGTGGAAATCTCCAGACGCGCGTGCAAGCGCGTGGGAGAGTGGGGAAGGTTGGGCTGCACGTGGGGAAGCTTAGGGCGGCGCGTGGGGGCGCGTGAGGGACCCTGTCAGCTGCTGGAAATTACCAGAATACCCCTAGGGCCTGTTTTGTAAATTCCAGAACCTTAAACTTGGATTTTTAGGTACCGTGTTGGTATTTTCTGGTTTAACGGGCCACGAAATTATTATTTTAATACCCGTTAAGTATTATTATGGCCAATTAATATTTCTAAACCTTAATTGGCCCGTTTACCGTACGGATATGAATGTGATTCATTTAACAACATTACTATAGATGGTGTTATTATTTTATTAAATGGTATTCATTATTACTGTTCAAATATAATAATGTCACGGTTATCGTCATATAAATTATCCATTATATATTATGGGATATTTATACTATTAATCATATATCAACCATGATTATTATGCTGTGTGCATTTCAGAGAATAAATGGACTGTTTAAATTATGTCGCATTTATATTATATGGATGTGTTACCATGTAGAACCATGTGAGCTGGCTAATAAGTTTAGACTCATTTATACTTTATGCATTCGTTGCGATAGACAGATGTGTGGCTGTCGGGGTATGTGGTTTAATATTATTGGCATGTGTTGCCTAATTGACATACTCGGTATATTTATTAATATTGTTGGCATGTGTTGCCTAATTGATATGCTCAGTATATTCATTTGTACATGGAGATGCGTTACTACTATGTAGTCTTTACAGTCGGTGTTGTTAGTACCGTGCACCGTGTATAATAGCTGATTTCCCGGGTAGGGAAAGGAGACACTTAACCACCTAGTGTGAGTCTAAGTGATCCCCGTGTATTCTGGTTGAGGTCATATTATACATTGGGTAGTTCCATTTGGATGTATACAGATATAGTACTCATCCGATTCATAATGATTAATTTATTTGATTCTCTGATTTGGGTCATAGTAGAGAGGACTTGCTCGTGGGGTTGACCCACCATTGTTGTTATTTCAGGATACGGTCAGTACCCGTTCCAAGGTTGAAGTTAGCAATGTGGGACCACCATCCGAACTCATCTACTCTTACGATCCAGTTCAGGGTAGAAGTTTTATGTATTACTTCAGTTTCAGTTTTTATTTACTTTTGACGTTGAACTCTCATGTTTATATTTAGGGATCCTTGACATAGGATTTCCAAGTTGTACTGGAGTACTGTATTAAATAAAGGATGGATGGATGTTGTATTATTTAGTGTTCCTTTCCTGTCTAAATTCTTTCATTATCATCATTTTGTATTCCATGCTTGTATATTGCCAATTGTTTTTTTGATATCCCTCATTTTTCGTGTATAAGCCTGATCAACTTATGCGTGGAAAATGTTGAGGGTGTCACAGTTGGTATCAGAGCATTCCAGGTTCGAGTGTCTTCGGGATCTGTGATTACTATACTTTCGCGTTGTGTATTCTGATAATTAGAGCCTAAGTATTAGGGTTCTTTGTATTCTTTTAGTCGGTCCATTATAATGTACTGGCGTTAGATTTTTCTGAATTCAAAAGAAGGATGTCTCGGCGTGGGATAAGGAATGCGAACCAGCATCGTAGTATGTCCCCAAATCAAAATGAGAATCAGGAATTTTCCCCTCAAGTTGCTGATATTATTGCACGAGCTGTAGCAGCAGGAGTAACATCTGCTCTACGAAACCAGCAACCTCCTCCGATAGTACCTGTTCCTGAACTAGTGGCACAGCCAATGTCATGGGACAAAACTCGTCACTCGTTTATCAGAGGGAATCCACCATCATTTGCGGGGTCCACAGATGTCTTGTTAGCATATCAGTGGAAACAGGAGAGCGAGCGTCATCTTTGGATGGTAATCTGTACCGAAGTGCAGAAATAGATGCTAGCTACGTTTATGCTGATAGGCAATGCATTGCAGTGGTGGGAGTCTATTACTACTGTCGATGAGAGGACCAGATTGACTTATGCTGAATTTCAGACTCGCTTTGATGACAAGTATTTTCCTGTGTCAGTAAGATCAGCGATGAAGACTGAATTTCTGGATCTGCAACAGGAGGATATGACTGTGGCTGAGTATGAACAGAAGTTCATTAATTTGTCATTATTTGCACCAGAGGAGGTCAATACGGAAGAAAAGAAGAGAGACCGCTTTATTAAGGGGTTGATATGGCCGATTAAAGTGGTGATCATAGGGAGTCCTGCATATACTACTTATATCCAAGTGGTTAATGCCGCTTTACAGCACTGCCAGATGAGGAGTGATTACCGGAAGTCCAAGGGAGATAAGCGGACTAACTGAGACTACCAGACAGTGGAGAAAGGAAGCAGCAGTGGTACCAAGTTCAATGATCGGGGTAGATTTCAAGGACATCAACCTTGGAAGAAAAATAAAGGAAACCCAGATGTGCAAAGGGATGGAGTTCCTAATCAGGGTAGACAAGGTGGGGTAACTCAGACCGGACAGGAACAGTGGTCGGGAAATCAACAGAGAAGGCAGGCAGGTCCTTTTACGGGACGTTGTTATCACTGTAGAGAGATTGGGCATCCGGCCAAGATGTGTCCCAAAGCTAAGCAGGGACAGTATGGGCAGCCGAGACCTAATCAGCCATTACCTCTACCGGCCCCACCGATGCCACGTGGGCAAGTTTAAAATTTTCCGGCACTTCCAGCACCACCATTTCCTCCGGGACAACCTCCACAGCAGTTGCATCATGGCAGAGTTTATAACTTCATGCCACATAATGCGCAGGCTCCTCAGGCTATTGAGGGTATGTTTTCTATACATAGTAGAACTGCTCGTATACTGTTTGACACTGGTGCATCACATTCTTTTGTGTCTAGATCTTTTATTATCTTATCTGGTATGACGACTCAGTTATGTGACCAACCTCTTAATATTTATACACCATTGGGAGTTGGCGCAATTTTACGAGAGTGTAGCGGTGATATCCTTATAGATATGGGCCGGCTTCGATTTCTTGCAAATTTGTTAGTGTTAGATATGCATTCGTATGATGTTATACTTGGGATGGACTGGTTATCTCAGTACCATGCTCAGGTTAACTGTTACGAAAAGTCTATTGTATTTGCTATACCAGGACAAGAGATGTATCTTCTTGTTGTACCACAACCTGATAGAGGGCCTAGCACTTATTTATTCGTTCTTAAGGAGGACTCACAGGAAGCGACTGCGGTATCTCTTGACAGTATTCCGGTAGTACAGGAATTCCAGGATGTATTCCAGGAAATTCCAGGCTTGCCACCGAGTCGAGAGATAGACTTCGTCATTGATTTAGCTCCAGGCACTACGCCTATTGCTAAGGCGCCGTACAGAATGGCACCAGTGGAGATGCGAGAGTTGAAAGATCAAATTCAGCAGTTGCTCAGCCAGGGATTTATTCGCAGGAGTACTTCACCATGGGGAGCACCAGTACTGTTTGTCAAGAAGAAGGATGGATCTCTTCGTCTTTGTATTGATTACAGAGAACTGAACAAGGTCACTATTCGCAACAAGTACCCGTTGCCCAGAATTGATGACCTGTTTGATCAGTTGAAGGGAGCTACTTACTTCTCAAAGATTGATTTGAGGGCTGGTTATCATCAGCTACGAGTCAGAGAACAAGATGTTCCAAAAACAGCATTTCTCACAAGGTACGGATCTTATGAGTTTCGTGTTATGCCTTTCGGTTTAACGAACGCTCCAGCTGTCTTTATGGACTTGATGAATAGAGTATTCAGAGAGTACTTAGATCAGTTTGTCATTGTTTTCATTGATGATATTCTGGTTTACTCTAAGTCGGAGAAGGACCATGCCAGACATTTACGCACAGTGTTGCAGACACTTCGAGAACATTAGTTATTTGCGAAGTTTGAGAAGTGTGAATTTTGGCAGAAAGAGGTCAAATTTCTGGGTCATGTAGTGTCAAAAGAAGGGTTAGCAGTAGATCCAGCCAAGGTTGCGGCCGTTATGGAGTGGGGACAGCCTACCTCACCGACAGAGATTCGCAGTTTTCTGGGATTGGCGGGGTATTATCGCAGGTTCATCCAGGGATTTTCCAAAATTGCGGGTCCACTTACTCATCTGACTAAGAAGAATGTACCATTTGTATGGGATGATTCTTGTCAGACTGCTTTTGCTGAATTGAAGAGTAAGTTAACTTCTGCACCTGTCTTAGCCACACCTCAGAGTGGAATCGAGTATTTAGTATTTACCGACGCTTCTCTAAAGGGTTTGGGTTGTGTGTTGATGCAAGAAGAGCGACCAGTTTCTTATGGGTCTAGGAAGCTTAAGCCTCATGAGCTTAATTACCCGACTCACGATCTAGAGCTCGCAGCAGTGGTTTTTGCCTTGCGTATTTGGAGGCATTATCTTTTGGGGGAGACTTTTCGATTGTTTAGCGATCATAAGAGTCTACAGTATTTGTTCACACAGAGGGAACTGAATATGAGACAGCGCAGATGGTTGGAGTTCGTGAAAGACTATCACTTCTCTATTCAGTATCATCCAGGAAAAGCAAATGTTGTAGCAGACGCACTCAGCCGCCGACCCTATGTCAACCTTTCAGCTTTGTTTGCAACAGAGTGGGATGCTTTGAAGACTGTTGATGAGTTAGTAGACGCTTTTATGGCATGTGTGGTAGTAACTCCTTCTATCATTCATCAGGTCATTCAAGCGCAACTCTCAGACCAACAGTGTATTGATCGGGTTTCGGAGTTAGCCTCCGGAGATGTTCCTTTTTATTCTATAGGGACTGATGGAGGATTGAGGTACAAGGGACGTTTAATTGTGCCTTCAGCTGACAATTTGAGAAATGTTGTGATGAGAGAGACACACACTTCTCAGTTCTCTGTACATCCAGGGGGAGACAAGATGTATCAGGACATGAAACGCCAGTTTTGGTGGGCCGGCATGAAGAGAGACATAGCTATCTTTGTCTCTAAATGTAGCACATGTCAGATGATTAAGATTGATCATCAGAGACTGCCAGGATCGTTACAGCCACTTGCCATACCAGAGTGGAAATGGGAGAGTATTTCCATGGACTTCATAGAGGGATTACCTACTTCACAGCATAATCACAACTCTATTTAGGTCATTGTTGATAGATTGACCAAGTCCACTCATTTTCTGCCTGTTCGTTCAAACTTTACGTCAGAACAGTATGCTAAGCTGTATATTGCAGAAATGGTGAAACTTCATGGCGTACCATTGTCCATCGTATCAGATAGAGATCCGAAGTTTGTATCAGGATTTTGGAGGAGCTTTCAGCAGGATTTGGGTACAGAACTTTATCTTAGCACTGCCTATCATCCTCAGACAGATGGACAGACTGAGCGAGTTAATCAGATTTTAGAAGACATGTTGCGGGCATGTGTTCTTGATTTTAAGGGCAATTGGGAGGAATATTTGCCGCTGTCAGAGTTCGCTTATAACAATAGTTATCAGAAAACTATTGGCATGGCACCATTTGAGGCTTTGTACGGTAGACCGTGTAGGTCTCCTGTCTGTTGGCTTGGAGTTGGTGAGAACAGCTTTCTGGGTCCTGAATTTATTAAGGACACGTCAGAAAAGATCGCTATCATTAGGGATCGGATGCGTACAGCTCAAAGCAGACAGAAAAGTTATGCTGACCGTCGAACTCGTGTTTTGGAGTTTAAGGTTGGTGATCAGGTTCTGCTTAAGGTTTCTCCCATGAAGGGAGTAATGCGGTTTGGGTCAAAAGGTAAGTTATCGCCTCGTTTTATGGGTCCTTTTATGATTACAGATCGGATTGGGGCAGTAGCTTATCGTCTGGCTCTACCAGATAATCTTCATAGGGTACATAATGTTTTTCATGTATCTATGCTGCGAAAATTTCTACGGGAAGAAGATCGATATCAACACATTGATGTGGGTGAAATTGAGTTGCAACCCGATGCAACCTATTTGGAACAACCTTACTGTATTCTCGATCGTAGGAATCAGATACTGCGCACAAAGACTATTCCATTAGTACGTGTACAGTGGAGTCATCATAGTGAGACAGAGTCGACTTGGGAACGGGAAGATATTATCCGTGCCAAGTATCCAGAGCTCTTTACTACAGGTATGTAGTGAATTTCGGGGACGAAATTCCTTTATTAGGGGGGGAGAATGTAATACCCCGTATTTTATTAAAGAGCTTAGTTTATTTAAATTCATTTATGCGTAGATTTCTTTACCTATTATTGTGCATGCTACATTATTATATTAAATTCATTTA